TTTGCCAAAGTTCTCTGCCAAAGTTGAGCACGTGAAGCTTGCAGCTCCCACTACATCGCTCTGACCAAGAAGGGTAAAAGAATAGCAAAGAAACAGCACTAACAAAGTTTAGACCCATAAATTTTGAAGGTCTAGCTACCATATTATTACCCACAAGGGTAAAGGAACAGTACCACTGCTGGATAATTGGAAAGTCCCTGTGTGTCAACCTCTGTGCTTCGTGGCAAGGTAGACTAGCAAACATGCCCAACCTTTACTCACATTCGAGAAAACACTCCCAATAAGATTGCTTGCTCCAAAATCGAAGAGGCACCGTCCTCCGAATCTCGAGAGCCAGACTACTTTTCTTAAAAATCGAAGAGAGGGTAAAGGAACAGTACCATTGCTGGATAATTGGAAAGTCCCTGTGTGTCAACCTCTGTGCTTCGTGGCAAGGTAGACTAGCAAACATGCCCAACCTTTACTCACATTCGAGAAAACACTCCCAACAAGATTGCTTGCTCCAAAATCGAAGAGGCACCGCCCTCCGAATCTCGAGAGCCAGACTCCCAACATGATTACTTTCTCAAAAATCGAAGAGACACTGCTCCCCGAATCTTCGAGAGCCAGACCCCCAGCATGATTGCTTTCTCAAAAATCGATGAGGCATCGTTCTCCGAATCAATCGAAGAGGCGCTCGCTTTCTCAAAAGCTGGGCTGCTCAGAGACCACGAGGGCCGATCTCAGAAATCGAAGAGGCACCTACTTTTCTAGCCTTGTCAGCACCTGTCACACGCACACTCAGCTTTGCAGAAATTATGGGCATTCTGTCGAAGACTTCTGGTGAAGTAGAAAGCACATGAATCTTACTGTTCAATCACCCACTTCCCACACGCAACAATAGCTCATGGGTACCACAGATAACTTTGCCAAAGTTCTCTGCCAAAGTTGAGCACGTGAAGCTTGCAGCTCCCACTACATCGCTCTGACCAAGAAAGGTAAAAGAATAGCAAAGAAACAGCACTAACAAAGTTTAGACACATAAATTTTGAAGGTCTAGCTACCATATTATTACCCACAAGGGTAAAGGAACAGTACCACTGCTGGATAATTGGAAAGTCCCTGTGTGTCAACCTCTGTGCTTCGTGGCAAGGTAGACTAGCAAACATGCCCAACCTTTACTCACATTCGAGAAAACACTCCCAACAAGATTGCTTGCTCCAAAATCGAAGAGGCACCGTCCTCCGAATCTCGAGAGCCAGACTCCCAACATGACTACTTTCTCAAAATCGAAGAGAGGGTAAAGGAACAGTACCATTGCTGGATAATTGGAAAGTCCCTGTGTGTCAACCTTTGTGCTTCGTGGCAAGGTAGACTAGCAAACATGCCCAACCTTTACTCACATTCGAGACAACACTCCCAACAAGATTGCTTGCTCCAAAATCGAAGAGGCACCGCCCTCCGAATCTCGAGAGCCAGACTCCCAACATGATTACTTCCTCAAAAATCAAAATCGAAGAGACACTGCTCTCCGAATCTCGAGAGCCAGACCCCCAGCATGATTGCTTTCTCAAAAATCGAAGAGGCATCGTTCTCCGAATCTCGAGAGCCAGATACCACAGACCACTTTTTCAAAGTGCTCTGACAGAGTTAAAACATGTGAAACTGGCAGCTCCCACTACCGTGCTATGACCAAGCAGGGTAAAGGAATAGCATTACTACTTGTTGTTAGGGAGACTCCTATATATGTCGACCTCCATCCCCAACGGACAGGCAGACCTGCAAAAATGCTCAACCCTTCATCATATCTGAGAGGGCACTCCCAACGAAGCCTTTCGAAATATTCAGCTTTCTTTCCCCCCGATAATACCTCTGCAAACAAGCTATACTAGAGCAAGAATATCTCATATCATCAGGGTTAAAAGCAAGAGTATCCCATATCATGCTTTTTTCCCTGTCTTTTCCTTTGGCCTTGTTTTTACCTGCAAGACAAGGAGAAAGAGAGCAATCAGTCAGCACTTGGAATCAAGCTTCCAGCCAGGAACTGACTGCCTGGAACCCCTTACCTGATTACTTACCTGGCATTGCTCTCGAGTACTCATCTTCAACATCTTATGTTTCCAGGGAAGATTCCGCATCTGCTTGAGGAACAGATAGGGCAAGTGCGAAGGATACAAGGAAGCATGTGGAGACAAGCGTAACAGCACACGTGCCGATACATCCATTACTCTGTCAAAAGCAAAAGTATCCCATATCAGCAGGGTGGAACGTACTCTAGATTTGATGGACTTGTTTTGACCCTCAAATTCTTCAGTCGGCCTTATACTCTGGAGGAAACCAGAAAACCCTCCAGCTCAGTTCAAGAATAAGCCTGTGGAAAGTTACTTCTTCAAAAGCAAAAGTATCTCATATATCATCTCTTTCTCATTTTTCTTCTCTTTATCCTTCATGCTGCTGCAAGATGGGGAGAAGGTGAACAATCAGTCCGGAGCTCTGATTGCTTACCTTGTCTGTCACCTCTTTCAGCAGACCCCCTAGCTCGGCGACTTGGGGACTCCTACTACATGGTTTGTATCGCGCTTGACCAAGCCTGAAACTACAAGTAAGCTTCAAGTGAAATTGATACATTACCTTGTGCATCTCCACCAGTTAAAGATACCACCCCTGGATGGAGGAAGAGTACTTCCAGAGAAGATGCCACATCTACCTATGAGACAGATAAGGCAAGTCAAGACGACACCACACTCCGATACTTAGAAGTTTCGTGATTACGAGATCATTCTCCCACAATATTTCCTAATGTCATTTGTACTAAATCATTCACTTGTACTCACTAAAGGAGAGCTTGAACCTATGTACTTGTGTAAACCCTTCACAATTAATGAGAACTCTTCTATTCCGTGGACGTAGCCAATCTGGGTGAACCACGTACATCTTGTGTTTGCTTTCCTATCTCTATCCATTTATATACTTATCCACACTAATGACCGGAGCAATCTAGCGAAGATCACAAAAAGCGACCGTTTTCGCTACCTAGGATCTATCTTGCAAGAGAACGGAGAATTAGATGGAGATCTCAACCATAGAATACGAGCTGGATGGATGAAGTGTAAGAGTGCATCCGGCGTGTTGTGTGACCGTCGTAGGCCACTGAAGCTCAAGGGAAAATTTTATAGGACGGCAATAAGGCCAGCGATGTTGTATGGCACAGAATGTTGGGCGGTGAAGCATCAACACGTACACAAAATGGGTGTAGCGGAGATGAGGATGCTTCGTGGGATGTGTGGGCACACGAGAAAGGATAAGATTGGGAATGAGGATATCCGAGGTAAAGTAGGAGTAGCCGAAATTGTAGGAAAGATGAGAGAAAATCGGCTCCGGTGATTTGGACATGTGCAAAGAAGGCCGAATGACGCTCCGGTTCGAAGATGTGACTACGGGACAGAGGTTCAGGGCCGAAGGGGTAGAGAAAGACCTAGGAAATCTTTGGAAGAGACTCTAAGAAAAGACTTAGAGTACTTGGATCTAACGGAGGATATGACACAAAACCGAGCGCAATGGCGTTCTAGGATTCATATAGCCGACCCCACTTAGTGGGAAAAGGCTTTGTTGTTGTTGTTGTTGTTAGTTTTCGAACATATTAGGTTTGTAACTTATTTTTTCGCTTTTGGGTTTGTTACTTATTTTATTTTGGTTGTATGTTAATTTAACTTGGTATGAATAATTGCTATTTCAATTTGTATGAAATTTGGGAATACTGAACCATCCCAAAATACTGAAAATATTTCGAGAATCTCGAAAATTGGAAATACCGAAATTTTGGTTTGGGATTGGTCTTCAAATTCCAGTCCTGAAAGTTTTTAGTTTGGGATTCGGGTTCCCACTTTCGGTTTGCAATCCCATACCGAACCTAATATATTGTATTGCTCTTTCTCTCTTCTTTGTATCGTTATATATTGTATGAGTAATGTTACACTTACCATATATTTGTACTATCCCTCTAATAGATGTAGGGTCCACCAACACTTGTGGGTATCATCTCTATTACAGAGATAATACAAATAATGATACAAGGATGTGGTAAGGGTAGAATTTTGGATACAATATTTCTTATATATTGTATTTTTTGTTGCGAGTAATGCTACATTTACCATATTTTTTATACAACATTTATACCATTTTTCTAATAAAGGAGGGTCCACCAACACATGCGTGTCTCATTTCTATTAGGCCTTCCATGGTAGGCAGATCGAAAAAAGTGAGTGTGATACCAATATATTGAACCATATAGGAATCACACTTTTAAAGTAGGTCAAAAAATTTGAGTGTAATACCAATTTATTGAACTCATAAGTTCAATTTATCACACTCATGAGTGTGGTATCAATATATTGAACTCACACCAGTCTAACTGTAGCATTATAAAAATCAAACTCATGATGCATGATGCATGATTCCTATATATAGGTATTACACTTACTGGAACCACTGTAGAAGGCTTTAAAGAGGTGGTACAAATATGGTATGAAAAATGTGCTAAGAGTAGCATTTTTGTTGCAAAATAAATATTTGGAACATCCACTATTTTTCATATGGGGTAAAAATCAAAGAACATTATGTAAATGTACTTGAAATAGAAATTGTAAGGGTAGTTCATCTAAATTTTCAGTCTTAAATAGTTCGGCCTGCTTGAACGAGCCGGAGAACGAACTGGAAAAATACCACCAAAATCGTGTCACGTTTCTCTAATTCTATGTTTGGACGAAGGACTTTCAAGGTGTCGTTTTAAAAAGTTCTCTCTTATGTTGTGCATTCCTAAATAATTTAGCCTATGCCCATGAAACTTTCAAGTCAGAAGTTCTAAAAACCCTTGAAAACTCTCACAATGACTAAGGAATTGGGTTATAAAAGCTTTGAAGTTTGGTATAAAATTTCTAAATTTTTTAGCAGTGCAAGAAACATCATATTTTTCATAAAAAGATCTCTCATTTCATTACATAAACTTAGATTTACAAAATTACCTGATATTTACACGCAAGTAGAAAAAATGTACTGCGAGGCCGGGAACGGGCTTGGTATCGGACCCCTGCGATACGGTGAGTTCGACAAATCCGGGTGAGACCATGAATCATATTGAGATAACACAAGTTGACATGATCCAGTTTTCAGAAATCATTCAACTCCAGGTAAAACCATAACCATTTTAATGCAGATATCTTAACTAGATGCTAGAAGAGTATCCACAAAAATAAAATTGGGTACAAAATACTTACATTTTTATTTGAGGTACCAACAAACACGACTGCACGAACCCTCCATAAAATTTACCAAAGGAGTCCTTTTCTGCAGCACATGAAGATGCATCGATACGAATAAGCTAGGCACCGTCGTTGTTCTCAAGTAAATCCGGGACCAGGAAAGTTCCTTTGAGCACCAAAAGGCCACAGCCTGCTTAAGCCAAAATCCAAATTAGACTCCCTTTTTTCGGTGCATGTAAGCCTCACCTTATCATAGAGTATGGTGTAGTTTGAGCTGCTTATGTTTCTGAAATAACATGATTGGGGACCATCGAATCTATACACTTGCTGTGTACTCCCCAATCCCCTAACTAGCAGATTGTTTTTTACAACGATAATAACCTCGGCATTTTGCAGATTTTGGAGAGAGCTGTTCGAGAATCGTGAACCAGCACTTGCAGACTTCTTCTCAATAAATCCCAATTCGACATTTGTAACGACTGTATATGATTCATTTGCTTGCTCCATGTAGTCAGTGTACAAGTAAAGAGGAAATGTTTTGTTTGATGACATTGAGTGAATACTGGAGGATGGCGGCCTGATATTGATTGTATCGTTGAAATGGATGACCTGATTCACTATCTGTGTATTACCATCATTCCTCATGACCATTGTATTGCTGTACTGGAAGTCTTGAATTGCATCAGTTGTGATATTCCCATAGGAGGACTTCACCCATCCAGTCGATGACACAGACCTGCCGGCCCTAGTAAAAAATGTGCCATTTAAACCCTTGAAATCTGAAACCAATGAAACAACAAGGGGCAAGCTACTATGCTTCAAAAGCTCACCTTCAGTTTTCGTGCTCCGCTTGTCCAACCAAAGATGCAAATTCGCATCAAGAAGCCAAACATTCAAGGCATTTGTAACACTAAAACCAAACTTGTGTCTCTTCCCATCCAATATCTTCCCTAAGAAGGGCGTGATTTCAATATCATAAGAAGGGAGATCGAACGAGCCAATTGCAGTAATAGGTCTCCACAGGAGCGGATTGACCCCTCCAGTGAAAATCACAGTAAAAGGCCAGACTGCACCAACAACCTCACCATCTAAACTCACCACAACCTCCCTAAAAGGCCCATTTCCAGGCGTACCACTAAGATTGTTTGCAGCAATGTACTCATTCGGAGGATTTGAATACCAAAACTCATCATTCTCATGAAATGAAACATACACCTCCAACACAGCCCTATAAGCATTCTGTGGAATCTCAAATTCCTTCAACTGTGTATCGGTCGAATTCTGGATTTCAAACCACAACCCATCATTCAAAGGCTGATTTCTCGAAATGGGCAAGATTAAATCGGCCCAAGAATGGTACCCAGAATCCAAATTTACCAAATTTTGCTCATAGTTATAATTCAAATTCTTCTCAGCAGGGTAAAAATGGATGCTAATATTCACATGGTAAATCCCAGTATATGTTTCATTTACTAAATTCCCAAGATAAACAGCTAGTGTTTGATTCTTCTGAAGCAAAGAATAGTACCTTGTGATGTCCTTCTTGACACTCCAAACAATCCCAGTCTGCGTCGGCTCAGCCGTGCAGCCCCTGAGAAGCTCAACGCCGCCGAGCCAAACCCCGAAAATTCGATCATATTGCCTCCCTCTGCAGGTGGCTTTCCACTCGAGGACAATTTTGGAAAATGATTGAGATGGGCAGTGCGAGGGAGGGTTGTAGTTAGCAAAGACCGGAGGTTTGCCGTATGTGTACCCGAAGTCGTGCTGGAGAACGTGCTGGGTGCAGGGCTTGGTTTTGGGGAGTTCTATGGGTTTGGTTACTTCGAAGAAGAGAGTTGGTGCGGCGTCGTTTCGAAGGGTGGGCTGGGAGAGGAGCTCGGATCGGAGGAGGTTGAGTTTGTGGACATTGGCGGCAGAAAAGAGTGGTTGGTGAAGGAGGAGCGGGAGGAGGAGGAGGAGGAGGAGGGCCAACGGAGAGCCCATGAGTGACTGGCTGGTGGTCTAGCTGTCTGTTGCTTCGGTGGGTTTTACTTTGTTTTGGCGCTATTATTTATTTATTTATATTTCTTTGTTTTTGTTTCTGTTATAAGTTTCTTGGAGTTGCGGCTTGAATTTCATTGTATTACATAATAAACAATATATACAAGATACAATCCTTGTTTTAAAAGGAAACAATAAAGGGCATACACATATCCTTTATAATAAAGGATTTTAATATTTACAATATATTTACATGCCTTTTTTAATACCACTCACGACAACACTCTCCCTCAAGTTAGAGCATAGATATCACATATGCTCAACTTGACAAGTGAGTCACCAAAAGATCTACTCGACACGGCATGAGTGAGGATATCAGCAAGCTGCTCTTCTAAGTTCACAAACAATATTGAAACAATTTTCTTCTCCAGCTTCTCCTTAATAAAATGACGATCAACCTCCACATGCTTTGTTCTATCATGTTATACCGGGTTCTTTGCAATCTCCCGTGCAAATTTATTATCACAATACAAACTTGTCGCCTCTTTTGCTTTGAAACCTAGACCACCAAGTAACTTACATAACCAAAGGACTTCTCATATTCCATGTGTCATACCTCTGAATTCGGCATCAGCTGACGATCTTGATACCACATTTTGCTTCTTACTCCTCCAATTAACTAGATTTCCAACAACAAATGTAAAGTACCCAGAAGTAGAGCGTCTATCAGTTACATCACATGCCCAATTAGCATCAGTAAATCCTTCAATCCTCAGATGGCCGGAATTTTTATACAAAATTCCTTTTCCTGGAGCCGACTTCAAATAAGCTAAAATCCGCATAACATCTGCCATATGATCCACACTTGGCAAGTGCATAAACTAACTCACCACACTTACTGCATAGGCTATATCCGGACGAGTATGAGCTAAGTAAATTAGTCTTCCTACCAGTCTCTGATATCTGCATTTATCCACTGGTCCTTGATCCAGATAAATTCCCAAGTAATGTTTCTCCACAATGGGAGTATCCACGGGTTTACACCCAAGCATCCCTGTTTCCTTCAATAAATCCAGAACATATTTATGTTGAGACAAGAAAATACCTTTGGACGAATGAGCAACTTCCACACCAAGGAAATACTTCAAATCACCTAAACTCTTCATCCCAAACTCGGCAGAAAGGTTCTTCTCCAGTTTGACAATTTCATCTGAATCATCACCTGTTATTATCATATCATCTACATAAATAATCAAAACTATTACTTTACCGTTTCTCTGCTTCACAAATAAAGTATGATCAGAATGACTTTGATAATACCCATTCTTTCTCATAGCCTGAGTGAACCTCCCAAACCATGCACGTGGTGACTGCTTAAGCCCATAAAGAGACTTCTGCAATCGGCACACTTCCATTTTTCCGCCGTTGCTATACCCTGGAGGGAAGTCCATATACACTTCTTCCTCCAGATGTCTGTGAAGAAATGCATTTTTTACATCAAACTGTTTCAGTGGCCAATTCAAATTTGCAACTAGTGAAATAAGAAATCGTACCGTATTCATCTTAGCCACGGGAAAGAAAGTTTCATGGTAATCAACTCCGTACGTTTAAGTATACCTTTTCGCCACCAACCTTGCTTTATACCTGTTAAGCGATCCATCAGCCTTGTATTTCATAGTAAAGATCCATCGGCACCCAATTGGTTTTTTTCCCTTTGGCATCTTAACTATTTCCCAAGTATTATTTTTCTGTAATGCCTTCATCTCTTCATCAATTGCTTTGGTCCATTCTGGACTCTTCAAAATGTCTTTTACCTGAGTTGGTACCTGAATTGAACTTAATTGAATCCATATTATTCACCCACGCTTGACGTTCGGATGACAGACTTTCACATGACACATAATTGGCTATGAGATACTTCACTTTTCCTTCTGGAGAGAACCTGTCAGGAGGTACACCATGATTTTACCTTGGTGGCAATTTATATGTACTTATAATATCATTAGTTATATGAGTATCACTAGTGCTTACCTTAGGGATATCTAGAGAAGATGCATTGGACGACGACACTGTTGACCTAGAGAGAGGGGGGAAGCTTCGGCAATAGTTGGCTGGTCACCAGTGCACTCCCATTCGGCAGCATCAATACATAGACTATCAGTCTCTTCGTCGGTGGGAAGCTATGGGATACTTGGAGCAAGTTCGGTAGGACCCTGCTATCTACTCACAACAGCAGGCTCGGCAGGAGGAGACCGAGCATCATCACTTACATCACTCGACACATCGTGCACTCCCCCTGAAGATGTTTCCTTTTGTACATCTAACCATTCGAGAACACCATCAAGATCACAACTACCCTTGTGATCGAAATGTGGTGATATGGGAGTATAAAAATATTCAGACTCAGAAAAGGTCACATCCATGGTGATATACACGTGACGAGTGGCAGGGTGGTAAAACTTATAACCTTGGTGGTGGGATGCAAAACCCACAAAGACACACAAAAGAGCACAAGATCCAATTTACTATGATGAATCTTGTGAATATGAACATAAGCTATGCATCCAAACACTCGAGGAGTGAGTGTATTGGTAGAAACAACCGGAACATGCTTCATCAACACTTGGAGTGGAGTATGAAATTCGACAACCCGGGATGACATGCGATTGATAACATACACGGCATAGGTGATGGCGTCCGGCCAAAAACTCTTGGGAACTGACCCACCAATAAGCAGTGCACGAGCAGTTTCCAAAATATGATGGTTTTCCTTTCAGTAACCCCATTTTGTTGTGGGGTGTACAAGCAAATTGTCTCATGGAAAATTCCTTGATCACGGAAAAAATTGGAAAACTCAGAGTTAACATATTTTCCCCCATTATTAGTACGAAGAACTTTAATAACGGAGGAATATTGAACAGCCACCATTTGAGAGAAAGACCAAATAATTGCACTTACATCACTTTTATGTTTCAACAAATACACCCATGTTATACGAGTGCAATCATCAACAAACGTAACAAACCACTTAACTCTTGAAACTGTATTAATGGGTGAAGGCCCCCAAACATCTGAATGCACAAGCTCAAACGGAAGCAATCTTTTATTCAAACTAGAAGGAAACGAAGCACGATCGCTCTTAGTAAGAATACATACTTCACAATGTAAGTCTGATTCCTTTATTTCATGAAACATACTAGGCAACATATGCCTTAAATAACCAAAAGAAACATGTCCTAACCGATGATGTACCAACCAAACTTCTTGCAGAATACTAGTACGGGATGCTCGAACAGCATTAGCTCTGCCAGGAATGACGTCATCCACATAGTACAACCCATCTCTCTTAGTGCCACACTCAATTATCTCCTTGGTCTGAATATCTTGAAGCAAACAAAAAAATGGATACATAAGTACAACACAATCCAATTGCTCAGTAACTTGGGGAATAGATAATAAATGGTGAGACAATGACGAAACAAGCAAACGGTGGTGGAGAGAAAGAAATGGCGTGAGGTCCACTGTGCCAGCTCCAGTCACCATGGCAGTGGTGCCATTTGTCGTGGAAATACACTTTTGACGTGTCATTGTCATATACTTAAATAACCTTTTATCAAACGTCATATGATTAGTTATTCCAGAATCCAAAATCCAATCTGTATGTTGTTCAGTACCAGAGGCTAAAAGAACACGCCCATCAGTACCTGTATTGGATGAAGACTCATTGGGATTGAGTCGGGTCAACAAAGCTTGACTTGGATCCCCCTGAATAGACACGACATCTTTGTTTCCAGTTGTTGCGGTAGCCATAGGTGGAAGCCTTTCACTAGCTCCGATAGAAGCACGCTCTTTAGCATGCAACTTCTTCTTCAATTCCGGAAACCATTCAAGTACTCCATGTTTCTGAAAACACATATCTTCCGTATGACGAGTTTGCCCATAAAAGTACACTTCAAATTATCCTTATTCTCTCGAGTGAAAGGGCGAGAATCGAGTGATGAAGATGGACCATAGGGCCAGCCAGAAGAAGGAGGCCATGACATCATAGCCACCGGTAGGGTTCCTCGTTGGTTCCCAACAGCACTACCTCCCATCATAGTAGCATGGCGTTGAGCTTCCCGCCTAACTACTGAAAACACTTCCTCCATAGATGGTAGAGGCTGAGTTCTCAGAATATCACTACGGACCTTGTCAAACACATCATCGAGGCCCACTAAAAAAACATACACACGGTCTAGTTGAACTTCTTCCCGAAGTGTCTTCAAGTCAAGAGCACACTCCATCTTGATTGATGGATGTGAAGTTTCTTAAAGTTCAAGAAAAGGTTAGGGAGGGAACTATTCAAGTGGAACATTTAAGTACTAATGCAATGATAGCATATCCTTTGACCAAGGCATTGCCAATTGGGATTTTTAAAGCTCATGTTTCTCGGATGGGGGTTCTTGAAACTTTTGATCAGTGGGAGTGATCTAGTGTTGCATATTGGCTGTTGGTTGCTGCTGTGAAGTTCAAATAGTTGGTGCAGTGATACAAATAGGTTTATGTTTTTAATAAAGCTTTAAGCTAGTATTTGATTAGCTAGTTTTGTTTTGGTTTATTTTATTCTCGATTTGAGACTTGTTTTAGTGGTCTGTTGTTTTTGAGAAATAAAATTTGAGATAGTTCATTTGATGCTTTTATGACAGTCTGCCTATTTATGCAGTTTCCATTGAATTATTGATTCATGCATTGTTTGGGGCAATTATTTATCTTAAATTCTTGCTGTCAATGATGTGAAATAGTGGGAGCAAATTACTTTGCTCATTTGCTGATATTGATCTGGTTCACAATGTTAAAGATACAAATTGAATGTATGTAACTCTTCAAAACTGATGTGCATTATGGTTGCAATAAAGTTACAGAGTTCTACATTTTGAGATGTATGTAAAATGGTTGTGATTGGGGATTTTTGTTATCAGACTTAGTGATCTTGAATAAGCTAAGCATTTGAAACTGTTCTCATACTTAAGTGGGAGAATGTAAGAATATGAGTATGAGATAGAGAACTTTTGGATCG